ATTAAGCCACTGTCCTAGCCACTAGGAAAGAAATCCCTTATACTTTTGTTCCACAAATTTTTTACTTTGAAGTGAATGGCTGACACTATGATGCAGTCTGGAAAGCTGTACACAAACAAGAGAGAAATGATTTCTATTGTCTTCCTGCAACATCAATGAATGGCTTCCTTGAGTGTATTTGAAATTTTCACACCAGTGAATATATAAAATTAGCAATGAGTACAGCTAGAAGCAAATTACATCACATTCCTCATTACTGACAGGTAGAAATTTCTTTCAGTTAACATTTATTCTTAGAATTTTATAGCTGAAAGAATTGCCCATGTAGTTAGTCCAACATATTTTGGTAAAATGAAAAAAATCCCCTCCCTCCTCCATTTGTGTGTGTGTGTGTGTGTGAGTGGCAGAATAAAGCCATAAACAGTAGATGTTTGAAGGGCATGGGTTGAAGGAGAAGGGAGTAATGAGGAGCAGGCATGACATTTGCCTTTTCATAAAAGATATTGCGATAGTAGTTTACTTTAAACTAATGTGCTTTCATTGGTAGATTTTGAAATCCACAGGAAATTGCACTGTCATATTTTAGAACAGTAAATATTGACTTTATAAATATGTCAGGTTTTGTCTTGATTTCTTCCTCCTGGATTCTCCGATGAAAACTCAGACTTATTCATCCTTCCTGGGGAGGATTTCTCATTAAAATTATCAGTCTTTCAAACTCAGATTGCTCTTGCTTTTCCACTGGTTGAAAAGACTCACTAAAATGTGATCTGTATAAATTATTCTCCCTAATCAATAGCTCTTCAATTTCAGACAAGATTTTATATCCATTTGAGCCATACTCATTGTTGGTATCATGTTGCTATGATTGAACTCACCAAATTCAGCATTATATCTGTCGATCCTTAGAAATACTAGCCTTTTCCATTATGTTCAGATTTTATCTACCATTAAAACTTACAAACTTACCAAGTTTGTGTTAACTTGTATGTATATTCAAACAAATTTGAAAATGTTATTCACTATCTGATTCAGATAGTTATGTTATAATTAGTGTCTCTTTATTGACAGTGATGACTTAAAAAAATAACGAGCATCTTTAGGATTGCAGAAGCTACAAAGCAACAATATTATGTTTTGGTAACTTTCCTATCTTTTTAAAAAATAATAAAAGTAAGATTTTGTGCTCAATTTTACTCTTTAATAAATGTACTTTATCAATAGTAATTGATACTCAGGGAAAAAATAATCTACTCTAAATGTTCTGCATCATTAAAGATTAAATTTTGTTTTATTTTCTATGGTTGTATTAGTAAGTGGATGTTTTGATACATTATAACTTACAAATTGGCCAGCTATAAATGTGTTAACTGTTCTTAGAATAATACCTTATTAATCAGGACATTCACAAACATATGCAATTCTTTTACTGTTTTAAATCAGATAATCTCAGCTCTCATCTTTTTTCTGTGTGTATGATGGCAAAATTCATGGATTTGGGGGTCAACAGTTTTGGAGTCAAGCCATACCCACCACTTACTGGTTCAATGAGCCTGGAAAAAGCAGTTGTTTAACCTCTAATACTCAACTATTGTATTCATAAAGTGAAGAAGATATTACCCATCTCAAGGGATTTGTTTAAGGATCAAATGAAGTAATTGAAGTATTTAACACTGTGCTCTGACATACATCCTAAATGCACAATAAATATTAGCTAGTATCAGTTTCACTTTTTATCTCTTTCTTGAATAAAGACTTAGTATTTTCCTCCCTTACCTTGTCTAAGATCTTTAAATTAGCTTAAATATTACTAAGTATGTATAATAACAATGGAACTTTAAAAAAAAATCACATGATGAACATCGCTCCTTTTTCACCTCAGGGCAAGGTTTGCATTTACCTTTTACCACTCCCCCTCATGGTTTGCAAGAGTTGATATCTTATTATCAATAGTAATCAAGGTTTATTTACATCCCAAAAGGAGGACCAATTTTTGCTTCAAGTTTAGAGCTCTTTCCTGGTAATAACAATTTCTAACTTTTAATTATCCCCTTTTTTCCCACTTGAAAGCCTAAATTGGATTGAAGAGGAAAAAAAAATTCCCTTTCCCTTATCCGAGCTGTGAATTTAAAATACCTGTGTTTTGTCTGCACCTCTGTCACTTTGACCCATAGCTCCTAGAATAATTTTGACAATTTCTGAATAATTTTACACTAGAGTCCACATGTTTCTTGAGCCTTTGGTTCAGGTAGATCAATGTCGATTCTTCTGAGGATTCAGGTGGCCCACTTTAAAAGCAACCTCTGCCGGGCCTTTGGAAAAGTAGGCAGCCAGAGAACGATACTCCTCATGAAATAGTCCAATCCGAATTTCTCCAAGTGGTGACTTTCTGCAGAGAGAGAAGTGTCCATAAGTATTTTATAATCCAATGCTTAAAAGATCTGTTTGTCATATTCTACTTCTCCCCAAATACCATCTTTCTCCAAACTGAGGCTCATAATGAGAACATTTCTTTTTAATTTCTATTCTAAGTGCTTCATGAAAGGTTAATCCACAGAAGGGTGCGAGAGATGGTCTCTTTGTGAGCTAGAGCATAATCGTCAACTAGGTCCAGAATAAAAGGCAAGTGGTGTCCCAGGCTCCCTTTTGCAAATTCCAAGCTGAAGGACGATGGATTGTGGTATCTCCAGGGATCAGATTCCTGGGAGTCACATTTCCCTTAGCTATGGATCCAAAGAGAAATCATGCCTTCCCGGCTGCAGTGAAATGACGCAGCTGCCCCTGGTCTGTGCTCAGCACGATTCCAGGAAACTCTGGGGCAGAAACTGAAGGAGGAAAAGAAGACAGGGCTGAAAGTGCGGGTGTGTTTAACGTAATGAGTAGAATCTCACCACCCACAGGCAGTCCCCTCCAGGAAATGCCATTTTCTCTTCCAGGAAACAAAGGTGTGGAGAACTTCTGAGCAGCAGCCGTGTTGATAAAACAATGAGACACTGTCTGATATCAAACAGAAATGCCTTGTAGCCTAGAGAAAGAGAAGCCTGACCAGACAGGATGCTGGGAGTCGAAAGCATCCAGAGGTATCTCTAATACCTAGCACATATCAAGAACAGATTTGGATTTTTCCTTTTAGGTGAGGTTCAAGAGAAAAAAAACTTTTTTAGACATATGAAGAATATTGTTTTCAAAGATCCAGTCTTCAGATTAATGGGTTTCTAGTTGCAGGAATATACAGTTATAAAACAGAATAGCATGGTCTCTGAGACCAGCTATCTCAAAGAGAGAAGCAGAAAACAGAGGGCGTGGCTGTGGAATGGAGCAGGTACTGAATGGTGCCTGCGGGGCTACTTCGCACAGGCCTGCATTGAACCTGCCTCAGTTCCTGTCAATTGTGACATCTTAAGCAAGCTGCCTAATCCTTCTAAGCCTCATTATTCTCATCTCTAAAATACAAATGATGATTATATAACATCTACCTCAAAAGATTGTTATGAGGGTCAATCGCGATGATGGGTATATAGATACTCGATACATAATCACCATTATTTGAAACTTAAAAAAAAAAGCCACTGACTAGTATTGACTAAATTAAAAGGACATGTGAATTTCCCTTGAGCCCCTATATGTACTTAGCCTCCTTCTCAAATAGTCAGTGAAAAACCCCTGCAATGGGAATGAGTGGGTTTACTATGTCCTAGGCGCCGCAGCCATTGGCGGGTCTGCCATCTCTTCTCCATGTGGTAGGTAGGTTCTGTGTAACAATAGCTGGAGAAGAGCTAGGAGGAAGACATCTTGAACTAGGAGGTTACTCCTTTGCAGTCTGCAGGGAGGACCTGATAGGTTTGTGAGATGGTCATTGATCCAGCTCTGCCAGCTTGTTTCCAGACATAAATCGGTTTTTTCCAAAAAATTTCAGTAGCGAATATACAATGAGCTCCTACTACATGCCAGGTCCTTGTGATATCAGGGTGAGCAGATCTGAGGTTCCACCCACCCTCACACCGCCGGCTAGAATCTTCCAAGAGGTGGCAGCATCTCTGCTGGGTGATCCTGGTGATCAATTCAATACGGTTAGATATAAATGGTAGGGGAGAGGGGCTAATATTAATGGAATAAATTTTTATCCTTAAAAGGTGTGTGTGTTCACTTTTCTGAGTTCATACAGTTTGAGGGAGAGTCACCATTTCTGGCTTCCCAGCACAGGCCGCAATGTGAACTAATCAAGTCACCAAACCCTGCTGGGCCTCGATTTTTCGTCTTTAAATTAAAAGTTTGAAACTAGCAGCACTCTCTCCTTCCATGATCAGAAGCCTGCTGATCCAAGGCTTGGCTTTTTTTTTTTTTTTTTTTTTTTTTTTACCCCCTACCTTTTTCATCTCTCAGTTATCCTCATCACGATAGTCATTAGTATCACTGAGGCACAAAAGTCTTAAAATAACATTACAACTTCAAGGGCTGTTAAGTTTAGAGAGGGCACCTTTGGATATTATAAACAAAACAGTGCGCAGATAGAAAATCAAAATCCTAGGTCAGACGCAATCTCGGAAAGACTACCCAAGGCACAGAATTGTACCCGAACCTTCTCAGGCAAGTAATTGTAAAACAACAATATTCACAATCCTTTCTAGTGTAAAAACAGACAAAGTAGATGAAGTTCTTTTTACCGGGTGACCTTGATCCTTCCCACTGAAGGATCATTTTCGCTTTTCAGTTTGGCTAGCTGTAGAATCGCGGTCTCACGCCGCTTCCCCCCCCCCCCCCGCCCCCCCCCAACACCTCCCCCCGCCCCCCGGCCCCTCGCCTTTCCTCGCCCTCAGCCTGTGCCCCTTGCTCAGCGCGCCTTCCTTAGCCCTCCCTGAGCATCGCACCCCAAGGGTGTCCCAGCCCCCTCCTCTGGTCGCTGCAGCTAGGCGAGAAGAACCAGTAAGGAGCAAGGCTGGAGGGAGGGGCGAGCAGAGCAAGAGGAGAGGAGGTGCCGGCAGTGGTTCGCTCAGGGCGCTGGTTCCTGGGCGGGCGGGTGTCCGGGACCCGCTCCGGCGGTCCAGGCGCGGGGTGACGAGCGCCCCCTGGCCGGCTCCGCCTGCGGGCGCACCCACCGCACCGGTCCTGCCAGTGCCCGCGCCACCGCAGAACAGCCGTGCTCGGAACGGCAGCCCATCCAAGAGGTAGGTCCATGCATGCCCGCTCATCGCTGGCCGGGGAGGAAAGAGGGTCTGTCTGCGCGGGTCCAGGACCGCGGTCCACTAGGGAAGGTCTGCCCAGCTCCCACGGTGATATGTTCCAGGAAGGGGAGAGCAGGGTGACAGAGAAATCGAAAAGAGACACAAGCGCAGCAAACTTTGGGTCACTTGTTTCCCGGGGCTTCTTGTGTGTGGGTTGCACAGGACGCTGCGGACCTTGGCCGCCAGGAGGCCACAGGGCAGGGGGCGCCTCCTCCTTCTTTCTTTCTTTCTTTTCTTTTTTTTTTTTTTAACTCTCACCTGAACTAATGAAGGTAGGAGGAAGGAAAGGAAGAAGGTGGAACGGTTTATATTCTTGGCAAATATTTGTAAGGAGAGATGTTTGCTACTGATGGCAGCCTGTCACGGAGAACTTGTTTTCTTGAAATCTATTTGCTAGAGGAGCAGAAAGGACTGCCAACACTCACTCTTCAAAACGAACCAAGTTTCTCTTCAAGGGCCTGGGGCAGGGTGAGGTGGGTTTCTGAGAGATCAAAAAAAACCAAACCAAAACAAAACCAAACCTCTGAGGGACAGTTTGTTTTTCTGCTTTGAGGGTCACATGTATAGAAAGTAGAGTTAAATGTTTTTATTTTACTGGATTTTTAAAAGCTCCAATTATCAATATGAGATTGACTGTTTAGGCTAAAGGTTTGGGCACTTCTGTGAGCATGAATAGAAACCCAAAGGCTGGCTTAGCTGGGCAATTCTGGTTATTTCTGCAAGGTGAGTGTCACCGAGCTGCCTTGTCCTTGGGGATTGTCCTGCTCAAAGTTGGTACTAAGAGATGATTCAGTAATGGCATGGGGACACGGAGGGGTGGTGACATGGAGAAAAGAATAGGCACTACTGCTCCTCCCTGTCAGTGGTGAGAACCACCATCCTGGGGAGCGTGCAGGTCCTACGAGGGCCAGTGCCCTTTTTGGACCAAAGTCTGGCAGCTCTACTGGTTGCTGCTCCTCTTGCATTGCTTTCTAGAGCTGTAACCACCACCAGTCCTTTCCCAACTGGGATGTTTCACAGACAAGCCCTATTTATAAAGTCCCGGGTGCCCCCACTCCCAGGATACACCCCAACCTTGTGAATCACCATCTTCATTTTACCCCTAACTTATCTTTGGCAACTCATAAAATGGCAGGCTTACCCGCGGATGCTTGATGTCTTTTAAAAATGCTGTGTCTCTGCAAAGGAGGGTGACATTTACTAATTTGGTTGCAAATTACTTTTGAAGTTTATGCACAGCTGTTTAAAATCCCTCCGAGATCAGTGCCATTGTTTGAGGCAGGTGTCTGCCTCAGAATGATCTTGTTATCTCTTTCTTCTGCTGATTGAAGGTACATATATTTATTTTGTTTCCTTTTGTTCAAAAATATGAACATATATATATTTTAAAATGCAGTATTCGAAGAGCTTCTAAAACCTTCAAAGCCTCAGGTGAGAAACTCATCCAGCTTAGTGATTAAGTCTAAATTAAGTTTTGTTGTTTTGTTTGCACTCATCAACTTTTATTTCTGATTTCAAGAGTAACCTCTTCCACATCATTAGCCTTTGTTTCAGCCTCCTGTGATTTTTTTGTAAACTTGTAAAATGTAAACTTCCAGGGAGGAGTCTTGTCACCATCCTCCGTTTTGTCATATTCGCTTCCGCCACTGTCTTGTACTGTGGTGGCTCAGGATGGTGAGGAGCCCTTGGGCCCACTTCTCCACCTTCTCTCCTACAGCTCGCCCTCCCTACAACCCTTTGTTGAGTCCACCTGGAAAATACACCAGTCAACTACTGGAACTTTGATTCCTTTTGCTGATGTCCCTCTTTCAGGTCTACAGGGACACTGCTCAGTTATTCACAGCTTGGTCTTTCTTACGATCTCAGTGGTCCCCTTCCACACTAATAGTTCATTTCTCACTTTCATGGCAGGCGCTGGAGACTCCCTTGAATAGCCTTTGTCTTTGGTCATTTCTAGAATGACCAAAGGTCTTCATTAAATTGTAATATAATCTCTCTGTTTTGTGGAAAAGATGGAATTCTGCTCTATAACAAATTTGGTGTTTCCAAATATAAAATGTCCTGTGCACTGGGTCTAGGATTTTCTTTTGTGAGTGTGGGTTTATTGTACAAATCTGTGACTGGCATTCAGGGTAAAGCTCCACAAATCTCCTTATAGTGCAGTACTTAATTACAGGACATTTGCCAACCTTTAAAATGGGAATTAGAATTAGTACTTCATTTTTTTAATGCATTTCATGTTTTAGAGTTACCCATTCTGTTGTTTGCCCCTGAAACTATTGCTGATGTATTAATCTAATGTGTCCGTTAATAAGGGTGTATTTGATTTCAGGTGATTTCCTTTTCATAAGGTTCAATCTTTTTTTTCTTTTTTCAAATAATTTCCACAATTAATTTAAGGTAAAAAGTTGTTATGTAATGAAAAACCCCAGAGAGCATAGATGTATCATGTGATTCCATATCTATGTAATTTTATTGCCCCAGGTCAAATCTGTCATCTAAAGTAGAGAAATTAGTGTTGTGATGACATGCATAGCATTAAGCTCATTCTTTCTGTTTCTTTCCATTACTCTGAAGCTTTAATCATCCAATTTTCAAGCAGCAATGTATCTCACTTTGTATTGTCATATCTGTTCTAGCTGTTAAGGTAGAAATCATGAAAAACTCATAGAAAAACATGATGTTGAGGCAGAAAGGTGAATTAAAAGGCATTTCTTTTAGGAATGGAAACATCTTTCCTTATTTTAATATGTCAAGCATTTATATACAAATTCTCATTTTCCTGTCATCTAAAAATATCCTTGGGGAAATGAGAATCAGAGGTTTTGGGAATTAGGGATAGCTCATCTGAAACCTAGAGTTGCAGGTTTCTTCTGCGGGATTAAACTAAAAGATATTTAAAGGCACTCATTTTGGCAGCATATACTTTTACAGGTTTGTAGAGGTTAATATTAACTAACTTTGACTTAAGCTAATAATGTTGATGATAATAGAGCCAACAAAAACTATAAAACATAATTATATTGAATTGTTTATAACTTATGTACTAGATATTATACTCCCAATTTTATTTATTTTCACAAACATTACTATCTCATTTAATCTTTGCAAAGCTTTTATAAATTAGATATTATTATTATCATCATCATCCTCATTTTACAGATGAGGAAACTGAGGCTCAGCCAGGTTAAGTCACTTGTCCAGCTCTTGAAGCTGGTAAGTTGGTAGAGTCAGGTTTATCTGAGCACCAACCACTTGCTATAAACCACAGAGCTGGACAACCTACCAATTAACTTTTTAAAAATTATGACAAAATACACATAACATTTAAGTATACAGTTTATTGGCATTAAATACAAGGTAGGCCAAAAGGAGTTTACAGTGGTTTGAATGGAAAATAATACAATAAATAATGATGCAAGAATAAACTCAGTGTTTTGCGTACTCACAACAGTAAACCTACTTTTCTCCCATGCTGTACACATTATTGTCCAATCAGCCCCGACATCCTTCCATGCAAAACTGAAACTCTGCTCCCATTAAACCATAACTCCCAATTCCCCACTTCCCCCAGCTCCTGGAAACCACCACTCTACTTTCTGTCTCTGTGAATTTGACTACCTTTGATACTTCATATAAGTTGAATCATACAGTATGTCTTTTTGTGACTGAGCTATTTCAGTTAGCATAATGTTTTCAAGGCTCCTCAAAGTTCATATTGTAGTATAAGTCACAATTTCCTTCCTTTTTAAGGCTAGATAATAATCTACTCTATCTATATTCCACATTTTGTTTATCCATTCATCTCTTGATGGATACTTGAGTTGCTTCCACATTTTGGCTATTATGAATAATGCTGCTATGAACATGTGTGTACAAATATCTCTTCATGTCCCTAGTTTAAATTCTTTTGGCTATATACCCAGAAATGGAATTGCTGGATTAAATGATAACTCTATGTTTAATTTTTTGAGGAACCATCACACTACTTTCCACAGCAGCTACACCATTTTACATGCTCACCAATAGTGCACAAGGATTTTAATTTCATCCTCACTGACACTTCTTATTTTCTGTTTCTATAATTGTGGCCATCCTAGTAGGTGTGACATGGTAACCAATGAACTCTTTACCAAATCATTTGATGCGTGATATCAGGGGTCTCCGGGCTGATGATACTCCTGAATTCATTGCTTTTTCCTATATCACCTTGTGCTTATATGCCTTTCTCTAGTGCCAAATCATTGGAGTAATTACTACTCAAGCATTCCCTGAAGGACTAGGGAAACCATGGGCAGGTGGGAGGGCTCCTAAAAGATAAACAAAAGGTCCCTCTACGTAGGGCGGTGCCCACCTATGTGGTTTAGAAACTATAGGTTAAAAAGAAATAGTACTGATAATGCAGACCAGGGATGATTCAACCAGAAGTTGACAAAAGACAAAAACGGCCACTCGGTCCTCCCTAGAGCTTTCCCCGTGCTGCTGGGAGAAGGCAAACATCAGTGGTGCCATGGGAGATGTGCTTTCCTTTCTAAAGCTGGCATCCCTGGGACCAGAGCTGAATCCAAAAGCGTACTCTTTTCGGTGCCTATACAGGGACTGATGAGTTCTACCACAAAAATATATTTGGAACTATGCAAATTCACGATGCTCTAATTCCATGATTTCCAACTGCAGCCAGGCTCTCAGACTTTCCCTGGTCAGCCGTCTTGCACTTTCTGCAGCAGCTATTTCAAGACCTTCTCCTGATACCACCATCCCCTGACTCACAGAAATTTGCCTTGCTTCCTGCTTCTCTGAAAATGGAAGTTTTCCAGAGGAAAACAACCTAACCCTTGAGTACATGATCTCGGGGCTTAAAATCTTAGCTTAATATGGGTCCACCTTCCCTTCTTTTACAATTAAGAAAAAAAAAGGCTCACTTCCTGTCTAATGTTCATTTT